TGCCTATTTCTCGTTGTCCGCTTTGTGTTGCCGCAGTATTCGCCACAGTATGCATACTCATGTATAAATGCATAGATTTAAATTAAACTTATGGCATCCCTTTATAATAAACATTGGTTTTGCTAATAAAGCCGCCATATACACACTTTATCCACCCAATCGCCCGACACATAACTTTTTTTGCACACTTTAAATATGTAAATTTCCAGATGAAAACAAAACATAAGTACACTCATATATAAATGCATAGATTTCTTATTAAACTAATGCATTTTTATATAAAAGTACACTGATCTTGTTTAAAATAATGATCACTTTTATCCACATACACCGACAATCGACACTTGTTGACGAACACTTTGCACTCACAAACACCTTTTTATTATTAATATAGACACTTTCACATACAAGCACCTCCGTATTTTACACAAGCACTGAATATTCTATATTTCACACCATAATTTATATATTTTCTAAATTAAATTGCATATTTTCAACCACTTGTGCAAATAACCACAGAAATTCACACACATTTGCCGCTTTTCTTCTGTTTTGCTGGCATATTCCGCATTCGAGGCGAAAATCAAAAATCTGCCGCGGACAGAGTCAAAAGGGAGACGAACTCCTCATCTCAACCTTTCAGATACGGTCAAAATCGTCCCGGCACATTTTCAAAGTAACGAGTTGTCGCTTCTTATACATTTACGTTCTTTGGTTTAACAAATGAAAATGAACTTTTTGTAATAAAAATGATTAAAAAATGTTTTTAATTATTAATTTGAAAATTGTTAAATAAAAACTGGACCTTTCTCCATAATCACTCCAGAAGGTAAACAGAAACAATTACAAGCACAGTGGCAATAGGTTCATTCCTTATCTTTTTGGACTAAAATCTGAAAAGTGTCAAAATGCCAGAGCGTAAGCAAAATGCGCTCACTAAAAGAGAGTAACAGGAAAAGTAAAGGAACGCAAAAAACCAATTTTTAGTCCAAAGAATGGCAACAACAAAACTAACGTCAAATAAGAACAGAAATGTATGTACAAAACACATTCACACAAGCACAATAAACACTTGCTATATCAATTATTTTTTGCCTCCTTCCAATTTCAATTCATTTCTTTTACTTTTTAGATTATTCTCACTTTTTGCGTATTTTTTAATTTCCGTTAATTTAAATTCAGTTGAGTTTGACACTTTTCAGGATTTTGCCAGAAAAAATTCTTCTGACTAAATCTGACTACTTCGGACTGATGAGAGTCGCTCTCACTGACTGTTGCTCTCTCATTTTTGCTGTCATTTCCGAGTTAAGGAACGCTTTTTGGACTAAATCTGACTACTTCGGACTTTTCTGACTATTTCTGGGAGATAAGGAACGCGCATAATGTCAAAGCACGTTGAAATCAGCTGTTCGGTAAACTGACTGATTCAAGGTGTATTAAACACGCCTTGGACTGATTTGATAACACTTCTGTTGCCGCCTGTGGAAATTCTGTAGGAAATAAATTGTTAAAGTTAAAAGAAAATTCTATAAAATACGAAGGAAATGGTGGTCACTAAACAGTTTTTCCAAACAGTATTAAATACATCGAATCGCGTTCATGGATTGACAAGCCTGCGTGAGTTTTTAATACAAGAATTTTTTGTTTTGGCATGGCGAAGAATACAATTTTGAAGTTTTATATAAAAGTGACGGCAAGAAAACAACACTGCTAGATTTGCACAAATACGGAGTTGAGAACGCCTCGTTTATTTCATTTAATTTATTTTCAACTTAGTACAAGAACAATTATTTATTTTCTTTCATCGTAGGTAAATTTTCCAGCAGTAATCCCACTATCAGTCCGGCATTGTTTAAACGAAATGAACTCTTCACTCAAGAACAGCGTCGTCAACAGGAAGCCGTTGGACGAGTGGAAAAAATAGAAGTACGCTACCTTGGATTGCCGCAAGATGTAACACTAGCTATGAATGCTGACTTATCCACGCCATACAATTGCGCGCAGCATCTAAGTGAAGGCCATTGTAAGCGTTCCGCTCTAGCGTTAATCGATGGAAATGTGCCATGGGATATGCATCGCCCGCTGACTGAATCTTGCACGTTGCAGTTGCTAAATTTCACAGTTGCTGATCCTCATTTGATAAACAAGTATGTTGGACACTGAGTAATCCTCTAAAATAACATAGCATAAGTTAATAAATATTCTAATTTTATCTTGATGCAGAGCTTTTTGGCGCACATGTAGTTTTATGTTAGGAGCAGCGCTGGAAAATTCTTTTACTGATGAAGCACATTTGCAATTACATAGTTTTCCTACTCCAAATAGTAAGTTTTTCACACTTTGAGTTAAAAATTTAATTTATGTTGTTACTCTACTTGCATTTCAGTAAAAACTGGTAGTTTTGTTTACGACGTTGTGTTGCGTGCACAATCTTGGCAGCCTAGTAAGGCTGAATTGCGTGCCCTCTCCGCTGAGATGGTTAAATTAGCAGCAAAAGATTTGAAAATCGAACGTCTTGATGTCAATAACGAACTTGCTTTGGAAATGTTTGCCGATTCGCATTATAAACGCGAGCAATTGCCCAGCATCGCACAACAGAATCAAGGACGTGTTACACTCTACCGCATTGGTACTCATATAGATATATCACGTGGTCCTATGGTCGCCTCATCACGTTTTCTTGGCAAATGTACAGTAGCAGCTGCGCTTAAGATTGCTAATGAAGGCGATAAAGATGCGTTGTATCGAGTGCAAGGTGTTGCCTTACCTGCTGGATTTACGTTAGATCATGTAGCCTACGGCACATTAGAGGAACGCGCTAAGAAATTGGTAAATAATGTGCTACATTAGTTGTTAAAAATATTTACTGAGTATACGTCTTCATTTTTAGAATCCTGCACGCTTACCCAATGAGCCTTTCGAAGAATCACAGCAGCAGATAGCTTGAATGAATGCGACAAGTTTATTTAATTGAAATTGTTGTTTTACATATTAATAAATGCGCATAAATACATTTAAATTAAGTTTAAGGCGTGATTTAACCGATCAACATCCCATTCGCCTAAATGTATGCTACGTTTCTGCTTCGCAAGCTTACTATCTAGTAGAAGGAAGTTGAAAAAGAGAGGTATTGTGCGTACTTACATGCATAATGAACAGAGGTCAGTTCCCCAGCTTATATTAATCAATGGAATATTAAAAGGGGCCCTAATGAGAAAAAGGTGTACCTAAATAAATAAAGAAAACTACATTCGATTTATAACCGCTCTGCTGGTTGTGAAATCAGTTAATTATAAGTGTATCTTCAAATTTTGTATATTGTTTTATTTTCGTTAGATTATTTATTTCAAAAATATAACTTGGCTTTATTACATTAACTATATGCACGTATGTATGTATGCATGTACATTAGACTGCATCATTCCTCATACAAAAAAAAAATAACGGTACTGCGTTTCCATTGGAATTATAAAATCTATAATATATTTTAAGACATACACGAAAATATTTCGGATAAATATTAAGATGTGCGTGAGCTGGACCGATTTGAAAATACCTAAAAAAATGGAGTTTTTTTATGAATAAAAATCGCCTCAAATGACAAAGCAGTTTAAGCTTAAAAAAATCTGCATAAAAAAAAATTAACGGAATCGCAATAATGAGATTTTTGATGCTGGTTTTAACCGACTTCACAAAAAGGAGAAGGTTATCAATTCGCGGAATATTTTTTTTATATATGTTACCACCTTGGACCACGTTAACCGATTTCTTAATTCTTTTTTTTTTTTAAGGAAAGCTGTTACCTCACAGGTGGTCCCATACTAATTTGGTTTAAATCCGATCATGGGATCATGAAGAAATTAACGATAATCTTAAATTTGTATATGAGAATTGAAGTCGGTTTTGTTTTTTGCTTAAAAATTACTTGTTTTAACTTTTTTCAAAGATTGGTATAAGAAAAACTTGAATAACTGAACCAAAAATATTCCGATTTAGACTTATAAGGTATCATTTTTCACCCTTTTTATTTATTTACAAATAAACTAATTTAAAAGTATAAAGGGGAAAGGTAGGATGAACGAGCGTCATTCCAAGTTGAATTAAGATGTGCCGGCATTTGAAAAAAATGGGACGTGATGAGTTTTTTTGCAAATAAATAAAAAGAGTGGGAAAATACCTTTGCACTGATACCTCATAAGTCTAAATCGGAATAGTTTTGGCCCAGATATCAAAGGTTTTCTTAAACTAATCTTCATCTGAGGGGATTTTTTTCCAAAAAGTTCTTTAAAAACTATTTTTATTCATAAAATAAATCCATTTTTGGCGGTATTTTCAAATCGGTCCAGCTCACGTAAATTTGAATATTTTCCCGATATATTTTGGTGGACGTCTTCAAATATAGTAGGTTTTGTAACCCCGGCGGAAAACCGTAACTTTTTTTTTGGTAATGCAGTCTAATGTACAAATAATAAACATACATACTTGGCAATGCACTTTAAAGTAATATTTTCTTTAAAACTACCTGTTCCGTTATTCGTTTCTAATTTTGAGCTAAAAATTAAAACTAACTAAAATATAATTAATACTACTTTAACACTTAAAACAAACTTTACCGAATATCGGAACTAGCTGGGATTTTAAATATTAGTCCACCAAAACTGTGCTTCAAAAATTCATTCAAAATATTTTAAATGCTATTTCGGGAATGTATGCCTTCCATTTATACTAATTTTTCTCCAGGGGGTACTTTTATTCTTCACTTAAAAAGCTCTGCCAGCGCCTCTTCATTCACAGCAATGGCCAACATTATAAAACCACCCAGCAGCATGCCACCAATCTGTATGAGGGTACCCTTAAGTTTACTTTTAGCATCCCCCGTATGCGTCTCCGCCTCACTCATTGCCGGCACCAGATCGGCTAGCGCTATGTAGAGGAACGAGCCCGCTGTGGCGGCATAAATCCACTGTGTCATATTTTCATGCGCGCCAGCTATGAACAACCCAATAGCCATGCCCACAAAACTCAAAACAGAGCTGACAATGTTCAAGTAGACTGCGCGTCGCAGCGACACTCCCGTCTGCAGGAGAAGTGCGAAATCGCCCAGCTCGTGTGGCAGTTCGTGACAGAGTACGGCAAAGGCAGTCGCCATGCCCGTCACTGGATCGCTGGCAAAGGCGGCACCGATCGCTAAACCGTCGGTGAGATTGTGCAGCCCGTCACCGATGACAACCATAAATGCAACTGGTGTGAGCGGGCGTGATGGCGACTTTTCATCTTTTTTGGTTTCGTGCAACATTATGTTGATTTCCTTGGCGTCGGTGTTGACCGGTGACACCATGCTATCGGCATCGATTCCATTTTTGGACGTTTTATCAGCTGAAGCATGCTCACTGTGATGTGCGTGCGCATGACTATGCGTATGTGCGTGTCCGCCATGTGAATGGCTGTGTCCATGTCCTTTGGCGTTGTCGCCTCGCAGTAGCGGTAAGGTATGCTCCAGTACGTACATAAAAATGCAAGTGAAGAATGCGCATGCACAAATCCAAACTGCCTCATGAGTGTCGTGTTCAGACTCTGCTGTGCTAGACTCATGCGCGCCATGTTCGGGCACCAGAGCGTGTGGCAGTAAATGCATCAATGCGTCACCGGCCAGTGTACCCACAGCCACTGCGACAAGGAACTTTAAGATCTCCTGATAGGCAATTGTTTTCATCAGCGGCACCAGCAGGATGCCCAGCAGCCCGCATGCGGATAGTATGAATATGGAAACGCTGGCGTAAATCCAAGCTGCGTGGAAGAAATTAGAAAAAAGTGGTTAGAGCAAGTTCGGGCCTTCCTAAGTATGTATCTACTGCATATTTACTCACCATTCCACAATGCCTGCTTGGGGTTGTCGCCATTTGTTAGCGGTGCTGGTCGCACGCACACATGCTGGTCGATTTGCGCTAACAGCGCTGGGCAGAGTTTCATAAAAGCCACTGGCGTTAACTGTACCTGGTTGATGAACTCATTATACTCTGCCTCGGAGTTGTGCGTTTTCGCTACGCCATCGGATGTGTAGGTCTTGTATAGCTTACGTTTGTGTAAGTCATCGTGATCGACGACTAGACGTAGCATTGACTTTGGGGATAGGCAAACATTCGGCGATAAGGGTGCGTCATCCATGGAGGCATCTGAAAACAAAAGCGAACATTTTTATGAATAGGATATCCTTTATTGATTGTGGAGTTCTATTTTAGAGGTAAATAATCTAAAGACATGTGGTCAATTCATCCAGTAAAGTAAAAGCGGAATTTCCCTTTGGAAAATACCTTCCACAGCAATTTTCCTTCTACAAATAGTGGTGCGAACCCTAGTGCTTTTAGCTTAACTCACTTGATGCTATTAGCCACTAGGTTCATGTCCTTGAACCACGTCAGCTACTCGCTACAAATATTTAGGAAGCTTCTCAAATACCTCGTAGTCGAAAAACGATACTTTTTGAGTATAAAAATTTCAGAGTTCTCCAAAGCTATTTAGTATTTTAGTATTTATTTATTAAGCCAATCAGAATAGAAAATCTTACAGGCTAAGTAGAAATATGTGATAACAGTAGGCAAATTACTAGTATACATAAATGGCTCACTTATAAAGAGGGTTTATTGTATTTAAAAAGCACTCTTTTGAACAAGAAAAATCTATTTCCAAATAATTAGTAATTCTATTAAACTCAATCAAGGATCTAGTAATATGAGCATTGATTGCATAAAGAGCTTTGAACAGACGAACGTTGAAGAACTCAGAGTTCCTAAGGGCTCTGGCAGGAATATTTATGAAAATCCTCTCCAGGAGCATGGGGCAGTCAGTAGCACCACGAAAAACGTCAAAAATAAACGACAGCGACAAAATTATTCTCCTGTTCTGCAGTGACTTTAAGTTGATCAATAGGCATCTAGACTCATAAGTCGGAATGGGTTCAGAAAAGCGTAAGCTGCGCAAAGCAAAATATAAAAATACTTTCTGGATCCGTTCGATTCTTGCAATATGGCACTGATAATAAGGCGACCAAATAAAACAAGCGTACTCAAGTTTAGAGCGCACAAACGCGGTATATAAAAGCTTTAGCGTATAAGGGTCAGTGAACTCTGAGCTATGACGTCTAACAAAAGCAAGCATGGCATACGATTTCGAAATGCAAAGGTTAATATGTTTTGCGAAAGTAAATTTGGAGTCAAAAGTTACCCCCAGATCTTTTATTTCACTAACCCTTGTAAGGGGCGAGTTAGATAAATGGTATGAGGTTTCAATGACGTTAATGCGTTTTGAAAAAGTAATCTGAAAACATTTTTTTAAATTAAGAGTTAACCGATTGCTATTACACCATGTACTTAAATTATCCAAATCTAATTGCATCAGTTCAGAGTCATGGTGACTGTAAATGGGTGAATAAATTTTTAAATCATCCGCATATAGTAAAAATTTTACTGTAGAAAAACAGGAGCGAATGTCATTAATAAACAATAAGAAGAAAAGTGGACCTAAGATGCTTCCCTGTGGAACACCAGAGCAGGCAACGAAAGGAGAAGACCTGACATTGTCCACAATGACCCTACAACTGCGATTTCGTATTATGTCTATATATAGTATATAGACCCTTCGAAGTTCTTCTCCTGTCGAGAGCCGACTGGAATGAGAAATTTGATACCTCCGCAAGAATACATACATGGCTCCAAATTAGAAAACAGAGTTGGAGAAAGCGCTTTCACTAAGTACCTGGGATTAAGAATATCAATCAATATACCTGACTTGGCAAGTGTTTTCCACTTTGATTAGGGAGTCAGTTGGAAGTAGACGTAGCTTGGGTACATGGCCGCAACCAAACTTCCCGCTAATGAGGCTGAAGATGAGTTAGCCAGGGAAGGTTTCACATTGGACTTAATCGATCACCGGATCTTGCCCCCAATTGGAACTATATAAGTATATACAGCGAAGTTTTTCTGTGTAAATAGGTAGAACACAAATCATTAAATCTTCGCCTCGCGATTAGCTGAGAAATATTTTGATTTTTGACCATCGAACTTCTCTGGAAATAAGGCTGTCGGTGAGTTTGTTAGCGAGAACTCTCTGATGCCCTTAAACCAATGGTAGGTAGTTCCCAGTATCAACAAAATCAATAAATCGGACTTCCTAAGAATTAAATTAAATAAAAAAAAACTTTTTTCTCTTTAAAACAATAAAATCTAAAAATTAAAAGAAAAAAAAATAAACAAAAAATAAATTAATTAAGAAAAGAGAAAACAAATAAAATACGTTTCTAAAAATGTAATGCAATTAAAAAAAACTATTTTTCTTGGCCGTTTAATATAATTTAATAATTAATTTTTGAGCTATAGGCCGCATGTTAAATAAAACATTAAATGTTTTTCTGCTTTATTTACTTCTTAATTTTATTTTGGTCGATGTTTCGCCTTCAGTCTGAAGGCATCTTCGACCGGACAAAGCTAATAGTTCCTGAAGATGCCTTCAGACTGAAGGCGAAATAACGACCAAAATAAAATTAAAAAGTAAATAAAGCAGAAAAACATTTAATGTTTTATTTAACATAAGGCCTATAGCTCAAAAATAAATTATTAAAAGAAAATTAAAAATAACAAAAAATAAAACAAGTTTTTTAAAATTAAATGTAATTAAAAAAATAAATATTTTTTTATTTTTAAAACAATAAAATCTAAAATAAAAATAAAATTTACCTTAAAAAATACAAAAAATTAAAAAAAAAAATACAAAATTAAAAAAGAAAAAATAAAAATAAAATAAGTTTCTAAATATTAAATGAAATAAAAACTATTTTTTTAACAATAAAATCTAAAAATTAAAAGAGATGTAAATTTCAATTAAAAAAGAAAAGAAAATACACAAAGTAAGCTTCTAAATATTAAATTAAATAAACTTTTTTTATATTTTTTTAACAATAAATCCTAAAATCAAAATAAAATTTAATTAAAGAAGAAAAAAATAGTTTGAGAAAATCCGGTGCCGAAGGATTAGAGCTTAGGATCTTTTCTCGAATGGCACTCCAATGCTTTCCTAACTCGGCCATTTCGACTGTTGGAGCAGCGCGAGCAAAATGTTATGCATAAGAGGTTTTTACTGAATTGAGCAAGTGACCTTGCACTCTGGCAAAAGAGCAGTTTACCTTAAGCAACGACTGTTGACAACATAAGAGTTGGCAACGAAGCTCTTATATAGTAAAAAGTCTCTCGTAAGACAAATGAAAGACAGATGGATTTATTTTTTTATTCTTTTTAAGATTCTTCTTTATTATTTTTTTATTCTTTTTAAGATTGTTTTATTTTTTTTTAATTTTCGTTATATTTTTTGGATAATTCTTTTTCCATTTTTTATTTGATCAATTGAGTTTTATTTTGGTTTTCGATTTTTCTGTTTTGAAAGAAAATATATATAGTTTTATTTCATTTCATGTTTAGGATGTTACTTATTTTTTTGTTGTTGTTTTTTTAAATAGGGTTTTTTTTTAATTTTTAGATTTTGTTTTAAAAATAAAAAGATTAAAGAAAATCAATTAATTTTTAAGTACTATTTTCTTCTCTTTCGATTTAATTTGGTTTAAAAACAAAAAAAAATATATCGTCGTTAAAAGTACAAAGCTAGTCGAGGGAGCGCAATACGTATAAATAATGCCTTACGCAAACGTCATATCGGATAGATAAATGGTTTTATCTTACAAACTGCGCAAGCTGCATTTAATTGTGGCACAAAAATTCATTTCACAAAATATATGTTAATCTTAATCGCACTTAAATTTTTATCAATCTCAGTCAGTTATAAATTCTGTCCAATGCGGAAGCAAAACAAACCACCTAATCTCAATTAGAGATGTATGAAAATTTTACCCGCTTATTAGGAGGCACAATATAAATACAGTAAAAAAACCTTTATTCAACACCATAAAACAGAACCTGCAATCAACCTGTTTCAGATAAAAAAAACTGTCTCAACTGACGTCCAATTGCATAGCAAATGCATTAAGATTAGAATGCTTTATTTATCACCACCCCCGACAACCCAACTACGAGTAATTAGAGTTATCAGTAGAGGCACGCATTCACAGTTAGTATTTAATTGCCCCACCGCCTGTCAACCACGTCCGTCCGTCCGTTTACCTTGAGACACATTAAATACGGCGTTGAACCAGAATGGGATGCGGCATGCCTATGCATGTCTGCGTGCATGGTATGCATTCCGGCAAAGTGCCAAAATGTCAATTATAGTGCAGCAACAGAAGTATTTATTTATAAGCTGACAGTTCAAAGTGGAGCTGTTATTTTGTATGTTACGCATGTTTGCGTCGATGCTATATTTTTTCGCACTAAAAACTAACTAATTGTCAAACTGTCTGTAAATTACTTTGCATAATAATTCAATTTACAAACTTTTATTGGCTGAAATTTCTTATTTGTATTGATAAATGTTGTTAACGCATGAATGGAGGAACGTTGTAGTTGTCAAAAAGTGGATTGATGATAGATGTCCGATTTCTGTAGAAAATGAGTAGTGTAAGAGGGACTTTACCTATACGTTTAAGACATTATAAGTGTTGGCTTAACAACTACCTCGTCCTACCTAAAGGGTATGGCGAAAATACTGCATCAGTATGTCGTTACCGCATCTGAACAAGCACCAATTTGCCTATCAACCAGGTAAATCCACTGAGACAGCCATTTATGGCCTCACTTTGAAAATTGAGAAAGCTCTGGAGTCTAAAAATATAGCCCTTTGTGCCTCTATTGACATTTCGGAGCACCGTTGCCGTTTTGATACAATTGTATCATTTTTGATACTTTTTTTCTAAATTGTAACATTTGATACATTTTTTGTTCACAAATGCCCTATTTTGTGAAAAGTGCAGAATATGTACATATAAGCCGTCGAAATATTTTAAATGCTTTCTGGCAAAGTGCCAATAAATCCTTTTATACTTCCTGAGTTCATTTGACACCCTTGACTCTCCTGTTGATATTAACATTTTAATCTGTTTTGCAATTGTTTTATGAGAGTGTTTGTTTTCGAGCAGATTAGTTTTTGAAATGAATTACTTGTCGCAAAATCTTATCTTTATTTGTCCTTAATTTTGAGCAAGTTTAAGGCAAAGTTGTCTTGACAGATTTGGAAA